GGTGGGTGGTGGGTAGTGGGGGGTGGATGATGGATTCAAAGTGGTCAGGATGCCATGTGTTCTCCGCTCTGCAAGCATGACCCCCGCGTCATGGCTGTGTTTCTGTGTACATATGGTGCTGCCTATTGTTTTAAATGCTGTGGGAAAATATAAGACAGATACTAGTGAGCATATGTCTAATCGATGCCTCAACGTTAAATAGCATTTTAGTGAATTAACGCTGTTGCAAGGGTTATAGCCAGATCAACTCTTCAGCCGATGTATGGAATAACTAATGATAGTCCAAGGGGAAATTGCCACTAATGTGCAAAGGAAACCACCTCTTTTCACCAAGCTCCTTCAGTCCAGTGGCACAGGTAATGGCCACTCCCTGAGATCACTTGCCACCCATCACACTGTTAATGCCATTTGCTTGTTGGTGATATTGAGTTTAAACTCATGCCATTTTCATAAAAATAGATCCCATGGAGGCACAGTTGTCCAACGAGCCCGCGGCATCTTAACTGCAAACAGCAATCCTAGGAGCGGGGCTGTGGACATGCAGGCAGCAGCGATGGGCGCAATTACCTGTGTGCACGCCATCTTTCATCCTTGGATTGAATGTGTTTCCTGCAATTGTCTTTAATTGCCTCCCTCTCTCCTTGTCTTTCTCTCTCTCTCTCCCTCTCCATCCCTTCCCCTCTGTCTCTCTGTCTCCCTCCTCCCTTTCCCTCTCTGTGGCTCTGCTGCAGGTTTGGATAGATGCTGCCACCCAGATATGCTTCTCTCTGGGCGTCGGGTTTGGGGTGCTGATCGCCTTCTCCAGTTACAATAAATTCACCAATAACTGCTATAGGTAAGCCCTGCGTCCGCATCACAGCCTGAGAGCCTCTGTACAATCAGGGGGGCTCTCACTGATTTTGGGGGGGCCTTGTGCTCCCATCACTGCTGTGGGAGGCTCTGTATGATCAAGGGAGCTCTTACTAATGTTGGGGGGCCCTGCAATCCCATCACAGCCACGGGAGCCTCTGTACAGTCGAGGAGGAACTCAATGATATTAGGGACCCTGTGCTCTAGTTACTGCCATGGGAGGCTCTGCACGATCAAAGGAAGGTGTTGAGGGGAAATTCATTGGCGTTTGGAAATAATGTGCCCCTGGATGAAGAAAGAAGGAAATAAACTGTGCTTGTAAAGCCGTGAAGCCAAAATGCCTTTTTAGATGGAAATGAAATTGGGGAAGCTACAGGTGACATTTTGATCCTCACTTTAAGGAAGGTATTGAAACATATGAAGATGCTTACTGCCTCCTATGAGCAGTCTTCTTTGATTTGCTGCACAACCAAGGGCTACTTATAAGCCAGCATAGCCACCAGCCCCCTCTGTGGGAGTGTCCCCATCTAGTCTCTCTCCTCCCGAGCTCAGGGTCAGGCTTCACCCCAAAGACTTCCCCCACAGAGAACCAGCCGCCTTGAAGAGCAGCCACCTGCCCTCCTCCTGTGTAGACCAGCCCCCTGAGGCCCAGTGCAGAGGAGCCCAGGTGCCCCCTGGGTCCCAGGGGCCCCCAGCTCAGGGATGGGCAAAAACTGACAGCCCTGAGCGGGCGCCTCCCTTCATCAACACCAGAGGGGGGTCCCTCGGCTGGCGCCCACCCACAGCCACATGCTGGACCCCCAAGTCCTTCTTAAAATAGAAACATAATTTAATCTGGGGACCTGCTTTCTTTGACCTTTACGAGCTCTGTTTGCTTTCTTTTCTATCATGTGGGAAAAATGCAGTAAAAATATAAAGGTAGTGCGTGCTGCAAAATGGCTGGACAGGCTGCTCCTGGGGGGCCCACAGAAGGTTCCTGCTGGACAGTATGTCCCGAGACAGCTGCCTCAGCCGCCCCTGTGTGCACCTGGGGTGGGCACTCTGAGAAGGACGCAACAACGCAGCCATATGGCACACCAGGAGGAGGCGCTGGTCTGCAGCAAACCCCAGCCCTCTCTGCCCTTTCCTCGCTTTCCTCCAGCCCCCTGATTTGTCACCATTCAGAGTGGGGTCCCCAGACCAGCAACACCCCCTTCCCCAATCATAGGAAATACAGAGCCTAGGACCCCAGCGCCAGCAGACCTGCCCAGTTAGAATCCACATTTTATCAAGGTCCCCTGGGAAGGCACGTGTGTTCCACAATTGGAGGAACCCTACCTAGCAGCTCCCCTTCACCATGGAGCGTGGATAGGGGTCCGTGGAGCTTGGGTGGGGGCCCATGGAACGTGGTGGGGCTGTGGAGGATGGGTGGGGACAATGGAGGATAGGTGGGGCCCTTGGAGCATGGCTGGGGGCCTGTGGAGAATGGGCAGGACCCTGAGGCATGTGGGTGAGGCCTGTGGAGCATGGGTGGGGCCCTTGGAGTGTGAGTGTGGTCCACAGAGTGTGAGTGGCGCCCTTGGAGTGTGGGTGGGTGGGGCTGTGGAGTGTGAGTGTGGCCAATGGAGTGTGAGTGTGGCCCATGGAGTGTAGGTGGGGCCCGTGGAGTGTGAGTGGGGCTGTGGAGTGTGGGTGGGTGGGGCTG